CACAGAGGGGTTTCCTAGCAGATTAGGGCTTTGCTGGACAGTCCACCCTCCCTCCAGGGCGAATAGGATCTTTCCCTTCAACCACGGCTCCCTCTTCTTGTGCTCACCCTCCAGCCAACAGCCTCCTGGTATCACCTATGAAATGAGTCACAGCGGGACCACCCTCCAGGGCAAGTGAGGAAAGCACGGCTAGACTGGGGCCCCCTGCCCTGGGGGCGAGCGGGCTCCACTCTCCCAGGCTTCCCAGCAGCTCGCCCAGGCCCTCCCTGACCGGGACCCCAGCAGCTCGCCCAGGCCCTCCCTGACCGGGACCCAGCAGCTCGCCCAGGCCCTCCCTGACCGGGACCCAGCAGCTCGCCCAGGCCCTCCCTGACCAGGCCGCTCCGTCAGCCTCCCTACCCAGCTTGGCCTTCTGCTCCTGGCACCGCTCCACAAGCTTCCGGAGCTCCTGGTACTTGTCCGAGAGATTCGAGCGGCTGATCTCCAGGGGGCCCTGGAACTCCAGGTTCCGCTCGGCCAGGCTGCGGTTGGTGGCCAGCGCCATCTCCCGCTCCAGCTGCAGGTCCTGGACCTGAGGGACAGGACACCTGGCCTGAGAACCACCCCGCTCAGCCGGCGGCAGGCTGGCCCAGGGCCTCCGGGGAATCGCAGAGCTCAGCCGACAGCGAGAGCCTAAGGACCTGGGCTCACCCCTGAGCCAGCCTCCACCGGCACCTCCCGAATCCTAGCCCATCGGCCGGTGTGGTGGGGACAGGTGGGACACTGGCCCAAAGCCACAGCTGGCCCAAGGCCCAGGACGGCACACCGTGGACTGAGCAGAGCAGGAGGGTGGGGGTGGGGGGGGGTACCAATTTATAGGAAAAGCCCCAGGCTTCCCAGGAGGGAAGGGACCAAGAGCCCCAACCACTTTCCCACAGGATTCAGAGTCAGCCACCTACTCTGAGGCGGACTAAGGTGGCCCAGGCCAGACCACAGGCCCCAAGTCAGTGACTCTGAGGGCGAGCGAGCCAGGGACAGACCGCGGCACTGACTCGGGGGACGCCCCTGCCTCCTGGGCCACGTGTGTCCTGCAGAGAACTGTGCAGATGAGCTAACAGAGGGGCCCCCAAGAACCATAGGGGAGTCCCCACGGCCAGAGGACTCCCACCAACAGGGACCCAATGCCAACCTCTGCCCCTGGACATGCCCTGGGGAGGCACTTCCCCAAGCCGGGCGGCGCTCCGCCCTCAGCCCAGTCCTGGCCACCAGCCTGAGGTGGCAGCCACAGGAACCCTGGCTGGACCTGCGGTGACCGGAAGCCCTGCCCATTTGCCAGGGAATCGTCTTTACCAAGAGGAGGGCGAAGAGTCAGAGCCCCCACCCTGAGACGGGGGACAATCCCCCTCCAGCACCAGGTGGCACCAACACCCAGGGCAACGGCACCTGTGAGCTCCATGGCCACGTCCGGCGCTGCCCTCTCCTACCTGGCGGGGGAGCCACAGGGCCAGAGCCAGGAGGGCGGGCAGGCCCTTCATGACCTGGGAAGCCCTTTATAACTGGTGACATCCCAGCTGGGCAGCAGACGGAGGGCGCTCTTTATCCCCAGAAGGACAGATTAGGGGCTGGATGAGGTGCCAGTTACAACAGGAAATGGGTGTCAGATGAGCCACATCCAGCCCGGGAAGGGCTCCTCGTGGAGACGCAGGCCAGGGGCCCTGGGGACAGGCAGCTGCGGGGCCGAGCATCCAGACACCGCCTCCAGGGTCAGGCTGCCCCACTCCTGGGCTGGGCGGGTTCACGTGGGGCCCCGGACTCCGAACTCCCAGGAGCCCCGGGAACTGGGCTGACATTTCAGGGGAGTCTCCGGTTGGGTCCCAACCAGGGGGAAGGCCACAGAAAGGGAGATGAACTTGACCCCAACTCCCAGCCAGCCAGTGTTCTCAAGCGCCTGGGTGCCCTCTGCGGGCCTCCCTCTACCTCAGGGGCCTCCTGGGCCAGCCGGTCGATGGCCTCCGGGTCGTTTTGCATCTCCTCCAGCTCCTGCAGGGTTTTGTCTTTCAGGGTCTCCATCGCTCCCTGTGGACACAGGACGGTGCTGACGTGAGGGGAGGAGCTGGCGGGGTGCGGACAGGCGAGCTTCCTGAGGGTGCTCCCCGCCAGGGCGGCTCCAGGGGGGGCAGGGGTCCCATTTCCTGTGCTCCTGCCGCCCTGCCCAGCCCTCTCCCCAGGGAGACCAAGGAGCTGCTCCTTCCGCCCACACATGGCCAGCAGGACGTGAGAACCCACTCGGCAGCCAGAGGGAGCACAGATGGCGCTCCCCGAGGAGCAGATGGAGAGGCGAGCGGAGAGCGCCGCAGCCAGGGGCGGGGAGAAACTGGCCCCAGGCGATGCCAGCGCCCACCCTGGCATGTGTCTATCTCCATCCGGACCAGGAATACGCCCACCCCCACCTGGGCCTGGCCGGCTGCGCCAGCACAGCCCCCAACGCCGCCGCTGGTTGCATTTAGGCACCGGCAGCCTCGGGTCCCCTCGGGGTTCTCTGAAATGCCGTCCTCCCCACGTGCCACAACGGACTGTCACATTCATGTCCTCATCACGACAGGGAAACAATTCCCCGACTGGCTTCCCAGGCAGCCAGGAGGAAGAGAAACAGCGACCTGCACAGAGCGACGCTCTGGCGAAGAGCCGCCATCTGCCCGGGGGACACTCACAGACCGTCTGTATGACAAGGCTCGCAGCCAGACCCCGGGGCCAGGAGGAGAAGGCGCACACAGAACACCCACGGCTCGCTGGGTGCTGTGCTTATCTGTCTATCTTTTCCAGAAGGCACTGCAGAGCCTGCCTTCGTGTTGGTCTGCTCACTCCCAAGGCCGCTTGTGTCCTGAAGATTCTGACGCTGGGGAAGCTGCAGCCCCCCACACCCCGCCCCAGTGCTGGTCCAGTGAATCCGCCCGACTCGGCCAAGGGGGTGCTCTGGGCCACGGTGACGGCCAGGGCAGCCTTCTGTGGGTGGCGCCTGGCGGCAGGAGCAGCGGGCCTCGGGCGGGGCGCCTAGGCTGGCGGCCCCTCCGCTGTCACACAGGCAGGTCGCATGCCTCTCTGCCTTCATGTCACACCTGCGACAGGCATGCAGGCTTGAGAGGGAAGCGATCGAGAAAGCAGAGGAGGCGGGATTAGAGGAAGTGCTACATCCAGTCCCACGGTGGCCAGTGACATCGCAACCGAGAACGTGCTGCCCGGACAGAGGCCGCCTCCGTTTCCCCATCTGTCACAGAAAGGGAGTGGCACCTCCGAGAGTCACAACAGGTGAAGAGAGGAACGGACAGACCCGACCACACCCCCACTGGCCAGGAGAGGCCTGCTTCCCCGTCGTGTCCCCGCGCAGCCGCGAGTGAGGCCCCTCTCCAGGCTCACAAACGCCCCGCTTCCACACGCCCCAGGCAGACCTCGGAGATATGCGGTCTTGTCACCCCGCAGCACAGCCAGTGTCGCGGGAGTGGGCCTCCTCCCCCTGCTGGTGGAGGGCCTCGCCTTCGTTTGTAAAAAACACCTCTGAAACTCGACGGAAGAGTGTGCCCGTGTACAGCCCCCCTTTTAGAGAGCCACCAGGCAGGGTCACATGGCGCCGCTATCTGGGGAGGGCTGACGGGCCCAGCCTGGCGGGAAGGACGGGCGTCTGTGGTGTGTGCCCCAGGACACTCGCTGACCATGCCGGTGCCTGTCAGCGAGCTGGGCGGGGCCCCCATCGGTCTCTCCAGGAGACGCTGCTGCAGCCTGAGTGTGACGTGCGCTGTCCCTCCCAGCCCTGCCCGGTGGCCATCAGCCCATCTGGGCAGAGTCAAGTTCAAACCGCACTCTGTCCACACTCCCCTGCTGCTCCCCAGCCCGTGGTCCAGCAGCTGGGCAGGGCACAGCGGGCTGCAAGGCCCCGGAGGAGCTGAGCTCCGGAGGGCGAGCAAGGTTACGCTGCACGCGTGACCCCCAGCAGGGGGACAAGCAGAGCAACGTTCTGAAGACCCGAACCACGTCGGGAGGTGGCTCGGGGAGACAGACCCGGCTGAGTGCCGGGCCCTGCCCCTCAGCAGCTGCAGGACCTCGCCCAGGTGCGCGCTCTGAGCCTCGGGTTCTCCCCTGTGAAATGGGTTAGTGCAGGTTCGATGCGATGAGGTAGGCAGAGCGCTGGCTTAGCGTGGGGCCTGCCCTGGAGCCCATGCGAGCAAAAGGCTGCACCACAGAACCCAGTATTCCTCAGGCTCCACGATGCCCCGGGAGGACCTGCCGGGTCTCCGCGGCACAGTGCCCAGCCCTCTCCACCCGGGGGGACCTGCCGCTCTGCAGGGTCCACTCGCTCCGCAGTCAGGCTGAGCACGGAGACACCCCGGCCGAGAGGGGAAGCTCGGCAGGGGCAGCTGGGCAGCTGGCCAACCGCACACGAACAGCACGGTGGGCGGTGTGATCGGCACAGGCCCGGCGGGTCCAGGCGCACTCTCATTGGAGGGTCTCCATGCGCCCACCAGGAGAGCCCTGGGCAGAGCCGCAATTCCCTAAGACAGCACCCCGCCCCCCCCACGGGAGGTGTCATGATCTGGATTTCAGCTGTCAATGGGGCTCTGTCCCGGCAACATGTTCTCAGCGGCGATGTCACTGGCCACAGTGGGACTGGATGTAGCACTTCCTCTAATCCCAGCTCCGCTGCTTTCTCCACCGACATCCCTCTCAAGCCTGCATGTCCTGTGACAAAGGAGGGGACGCCGGCCTAGGCACCCTGCCCGTGGCCGCTGCTCCTGCCGCCAGGCGCCACCCCCGCTGCCTCCTCTCACCCACCCTCAGGGCCCTCCTGGCATGGGGGGTGCCCAGGACCCCACACCCACTGGTGCCCACACTCTTTCTGCGGGGCTCGTTTTCCTCGCCTGTAAATGGGTGAGCAACCCCGATGGTCACTTTCCTCTGAGGTCAAAGCCCTTTGCAAACTCTCCCATGAAGTCAGCGATGTCAGCCCTCCTCCCTCACAGCACGTAAGCTCATCGCTGCCCTCCTGCGGGGGGCACACCAAGAAACGCGTACATTTTGCTGGTCTGACAAAAAATAGGTGTAATTTTGACTCATTCACACCGGCTGGCTGTTGTCTTTATTTCACAATTGCAGGGAAGAAAAGTCAGGCCCTGACGTAAGAGTCAGGCGGTGCATGTTTTAGAAATCCTTGCGGCCACCGGCTGAGAGTCGCTGCCTTACATAACCTCTCTGGTGAGTAGAGGGAACACAGGCTAATGACCCCTAATTCAGGGAGGAAAGCAAGACCAGGAAGAAGAAGGGAAAGTATTCCAAAGGGCGACAAGCCAAGCCTTGGGTATTTAAGTCTCACAGGCACCTCTGCCTCCTGCTCCATCACCCTGACACGGAGTCAGGAGGGGAGCCCGAGATGCTGAGATGGCAGGTCGGAGAGCCCCGCCCGTCTGGCCCTCTGACAACATCTCAAACCCCGGCAGGCAAATGCCTGTCTTGTGAGCAACAGCGGCCCCTGCGAGCTGCCGAGCTGCTGGGCCTGCCTTCCCGAGTCCGAGCCGCCAGTGGGCCCGGGGCAGCAAGCACTTCTCTGGTCCCTAACTGGGAAAAGGAGAAAGGGGCAGGGCGATACTCTGCCCCGAGGCCTACAGAGCAGGGCCGAGGCCTGGCACCTGCTGCTGGCAGGGCTCGGCCTCCCAGGCACCCACCTGGCAGCAAAATCCCATCCAGCCCGACTCAGTGCCGCAGCCACCAGGGACGTCCCAACGCGGAGGGCGGGGGCGGGGCTTTTGTGTGTGGAGGCCTGACAAGCCCCATGACCTCGCCCCTTGGCACCCAGGCCCAAGCAGGACCCCCTCCACCTAGCAAGGTGCCCAGGAGGATGCCGGGTCTGGGGGTGCGGTGTCTGAGTCTGCTGCCTGGAAGGAGGGAACAGGAGGGAGAGGGAGGCGAGAAGAGACCACAGGCAGGAAAGTGGCCTGTTCACCCCGCTATTCCCGCGGTGCCCAGAGGGCCCCCAACAGGGAACAGACAGGCAGGGAGGGGGGAACCAGCGCCTCCGGTGGCGACTCACCGACACAAGGGGTGTGAGGCCGGGCTTCTCCCAGTTTCCGTCCTCACTCCTTCCTCGGCACTTACTGAACAGACATCTAATGCTATTCATCACGTCACGCCAACACTGAACAAGAACCCAAAGAAAGGAGGAGGGTAAAGGGACAGAGGGCTGTAAGTAAATGTTTACTATGCGCCAGACGCGGCCGTAAGATATCAAAGCTGATGCAATTCTCCGGGAACTGTTTGGTTTTAAAAGGCAAAACAGTTCACGGCGACCTGGTGCGAGGAGCCGTGACAGAGGTGGGGACAGTGGCGTGAGGAGGGCGCCCCCAGGCCCCCTGAAGGGGCTGCTTGTGCTGGGAGGCCCAGGGCCCAGGACAGCGGCTGCGGGGCCACGTGGGGCCGCATGGCCGGGAGAGGGAGAAGGCTGGTGGGGAAGGGGGGGGCAGGCACAGCGAGACGACACCTCTTTGGGGGGCGACTCCACCAACTCAAAGGAGGTCAGACAGGGAACAGGGTGGAAAGGCAAGGAAAGCGAGTGCTAATCTGTGATCCCTTCCCCATGGCCAGCAAATGTCACTTATCCCGCGGCACGATCCTAGGAGGGAAAAGGCTTTCTTCTCTTTCTTTTTCTTTTTTTAAATATATTTTGTTATTGATTTCAGAGAGGAAGGGAAAGGGAGAGAGGAAAATCAATAAGAAGAGAGAATCATTGATCAGCAGCCTCCTGCCCACCGCACACTGGGGATTGAGCCCCAAACCAGAGCATGTGCCTTGATAGGGAATGAACTGTGGCCTCCTGGTTCAGAGGTTGACACTCACGCTCAGCCACTGAGCCACGCCAGCCGGGCTCTCTTTTCCTTTTTTTGTTTGTTTTGTTTTGTCTCCTCTGCAGCTCACCTCCACCAGAGATCCCTTAGCACAAGCCTGTGCGTACAAGGGCAAGGCAGGCACACCAGGGCCGAGCCTGTGGCGGGGAGTGCGGGCCTGTGGCGGGGGGTGCGGCCTGTGGCAGGGGGTGCGGCCTGGGGTGGGGGGAGTGTGGGCACCACCTGCGGGTAGAGGGAGGCGGCTTTGCCAGACCTGCCAGGTTCCCAGGGGAAGCCAGGAGCCTGAACCCGAGTGCTACCTCCCCATCTTTAAAGGTCAGCAGCCCGTTCACAGTTGTGAGAAACACTGAGGGCTGAGGTGTTCACCTGAACTCCACACGCCCTCCAGGGGAGACAGGGCCAGGAGGACAGATTCCGCAGACGGGGGAGGGCAGGGGGCCGGGTGACACTGCAGGTCCTGGCTGCACCGGTGCTGCTCCGGCCCTTGCGCTGGCCCCTGGGCCACAGCTTCTTCCCATTTCCTTGTGTCTGGCCTGACTCAGCCTCACATGCCTGCTACACGGGACGTGACTGAGCGGAGGGTATTAGGCCAAGGAGACTGCCTGCACCTGGGGCACTCAGGCCAGAGGCGAAGCATCCTTTCTCGCCCCAGGGGCAGGAGGGGCTGCAGAACGTCCAGGTGGAGAGGCGATGCTGGCAAGAGCCCAGACTCGGGCAGCCTCGCAGACCTGTCCTTACAGGGAAGGAAGAAAAAGCCACGTATCGTGGATGTTGCTCAATGAGGGCCATTGCCAGAGCTGCTCAGCTCAAAAAATAAACAGCTTCGACTGCTATCAGATCCTTTAAAGCAGCGGTTCTCCACCTTCCTCACGCCGCGGCCCTTTATACAGTTCCTCATGTTGTGGTGACCCCCAACCATAAAACTGTTTTCGTTGCTACTTCATAACTGTAATTTTGCTACTGTTATGAATCGTAATGTAAATATCTGATATGCAGGATGTATTTAGGCGACCCCTGTGAAAGGGTCATTCGATCCCCCAAAGGGTTGCGACCCACAGGTTGAGAACCGCCGCTTTAAAGAATAAACTCGGGAGGAGAGGCAGGAGATTAAAAACAGAAAGCAAAACGCAGCACTTCCCATGCGAGAGCCGCTCAGGTCGGAGTAAGGCTTGCAGCCCTCGAGACGGCGAGAGGCAGCCCTCGCCCCAGAGCAGTCAGGTCCACTCTGCCCCCGGAACACGAGGAAAGCACAGGATTTGGAAACAGGCGCCTGGCTTCGCACTCGGGCTCCCAGCTATGGAGCGGTGTGAGCTTGATCCAGGCCCCTCGCCTCAGCTTCCTCCTCTAGCAATGGGCGCGCTGCTGGAGCGCCACGCTGGGGCTGTGAGCCTCAGGGGAGCAGGCCTTTGCAGCTCCTGAGCACTGATCGGATACTCATCTTTCTGCCTCGTGGGGGTAAGCTGATCATTAGGGGCGACTCCTGACACCCCTGAGCTCAATACTGAGTCAAGCAAAATGACCGCTCTCACTGAATCACAACGAACGGTGACTGGGCCGGCGCCTGCTGTCCCCAGCGCCGGCACCTCCTCGGCGTTACACTCAACACTCCGTTGCCCACTACTTCCAAGCCTGAAGTCACAGGGCCAGGAGTGCTCTAAAGGCCTGGGGTCGCTTGTTTCCCGCATCCACCTAGGAGAGCAGAGGGCGTTGTTACCATAGCAACCTGCGCAGTTCAATCCAAGAGTGTGGTACAAGTCTGGCCTCAACCCACCCCTCAGGTCAAGAACACGTGTGGTCCCGGAGAGACCGTCCGAGCCCTGCCTCTCAGTGAGGAAGTACCTGGTGACCTGACCTGCTTTCCTTTTCCCAGAAGGACTCCAGCTCCAGACGGCCGAGTCCCTGACGGCACACGGGAGGTAATGACACCTCAAACCGCCACGCCCGTCTCACCTGGCCCCAAGCACCATCGAATTCACTCGCCGCGATTTTGAAAAGTTGGCATGACAGCCCCAGAGGGAGACCCTGCCAGCGCCCAGTCCTTGTAGTACCCTCTGGAGTTGGGGGAGGAGGCCCCTCCCGCCCCAATGCTGAGGAGTTAAGAGGCGTCGGGGGTAGAAGAAAGAGGTCTGGGCTTCGGAACCCAATGGTCCTGCGTTAAATCCCAGGGTGACCTTGTACCAGCTGCTTGACCTTGGGCAGATGACCCTGCTTCTCACTGGGAAAGTGGGCTAACCCTGACATGGCCCTCGGGTCGCGGCAGGATGGAATGGGAATTACACCAGAGAACCTGTGGCGGTGCAGGCGCCAGGAGCACCGATTCACACACTCACGCCTCGTGGTGTGAAGGTCGCCTGGCAACCCTGCCAGGCCCCCAGGGAGGCAAAGGGTGTGACCTTCTGAAGCAGGCTCCACGGAACCGGAGCCAAGGCCCCCGACTACACGCGTGCCCACGCGTGCGGGGGGGGGCGCAGCCCTAGGGACAGGTTTCCAAAGGAAACGGGCGCCCACAGAAGGCTCTGGGTCCCCCTGAGAAACTCCACCAGCCCCCTCTTCCCCAGAGGCAGCCCCGCAAGTGAAAAAGACCCGGAAAGGATGCCCCCAG